CTTAATTCAAAAATTTTACATTCAAAACTGTCTTACATACATGGAATGAATTATCTTTTATAAATTTTTACCCGTTATTATGTATAAATCTAAGAGACATATCAATATGTGATCATTTTTATACACATAAAAACTTTGCTATATATTTTCTAGATGCCTTTAATATTGTATAACAATCAGCACTTGTTTAAGAAATATATTAGAGCTTCCTATTATGAACTAGCTTTTATTGTCATATATAAAATAATCATATGTTTATTTAAGATAATGTTATATAATATAAATTATATTAAGATATTATAGTAATCATTTTAATAAGTCACTATTGGAAATTTACCAAATATATTTAAATTTATTTACATGTTAATACAGTAATCGATTTTTTGACACTGTTACGTAGATCATAGAATATTACGCATAATGGGTATGTTATAATTGCAAACTTGCACTTTTACCTTTTACAAACTTGCACCTAGAGGCATTTTTCTAGCGAATCGAGAAAACAATGTATAGGAGCATATCCATGTTTATTGTTATATGTAGTTAATCCAGTTTTTATTATCTGTGATAAAATATTTATCACTGGCTATTTTTAAATTGATTGGAAACACAATTATTGTGCCTTGGCTAATTGTATTGTTCCTTGTTTTATTAAAGTATAAAGATGGGCTTATGATTTTATTTTAATAAATAAATATATAGTATGTATTGTTTTATTTTATTTTGAACTTGCATTTATCTGGTATGTGTATCAAAAGTATTCACACAGCTACTAAGTATAGAATTATACGAGTAAATATGAAATAAATTTCTAAATCTTCTTAATTCATTCTGCCGTTGATTGCCAAATTTAGGCAAGTGTTTATTTATTTTTAATTTGGGCAATTCTTTTTCAATTTACTGGTCTGTTACTAGTCGGCAACTGAACAGTTCGACCACAAATTCAACAAACTTGCAAACACACAAAAATCCTGCTTGGCAGGTTAATTTAATTATATAATAAATAAATTAATTGTTACGTACAGCACGAAAACCTGCCAAGTTCAAATTTAGAAGTATTATAATTTTAGATATTTTTAACCAAGCACCTACGTATTTTCACAACTATACCATATTTTAAGTTGGGTGTATGGTAAAGTGAATTTCGGCCAGATGGACCGTTGACGTGAATAAGGTGGCCGGTAGTGGCTGGATGTGGAAGGCAGAGGACTGGGTGTTGTGGCGAGTCTTGGGAATGGCAAATGTTTACCAGTGGATCATGCTGTTGATGAAGATAATTATGATCGATTTCAAAGTGCATCTAAACTTGACATTAGATTGGATTTCAACCCTTTTGAGGCAAACAATTAGCCGATTGGAACTTGGCCCCCTTTTCAACAGGCATGGTTTTGGTGAGATACGTTAACGAAATGTAAATTTTATGTTATAATTAATTATCTACGAACAATAAAATGCAAAATCAATTTTACGTTTGCGCCAAGGCCAAATTATTTCAATTATTTGCTTTTAAACATTTTCTATGGTATTGTCATGTGAACACAAGGGTTATACACTATACAGTCTGGCTCAGTCTCACGGTGTATTTTGAATAACACATGATAAGTAGGTATATCTTTTCAATTGTAATGAAAACGTTATTTATAAATATATATATATATATATATATATATATATATATATAAATCAGTTATTATAAGTGGTCCTTCATAAAACAAATACCTACAAAAATAGCGCTTTCAATACAAAAATACAAACATGTTGCAATTAAATAGAAAATTTAATTTAGTTAAATACAAGGTCCTATAAAATTTATTAGGTATCCTGAACATTTGTAGGATAATTGGAATTTCAAATTTTGTCTGCTTCTGAATTAACTTGCTGTGATATGAAAATAAACAAGAAGAGATTATAAATATGCCTAAATATATGTGCAGATTTAATAATGATTCATAACGAATAATTAAAACCTACTTAATTTAAACATATGTAAAGAAACAAAGATTAAGAATTTATCGAAAAAAATAATTTGTTGGAAACATTTAAGAATTTTTTTTTATTACTTATCACTTTTAAATCAATTCTTTTAATATAAATCTTTTTTTATATTGGTCTGGATTCATCTATATAAATCTTTGATAATTTCCAAATTGAAAAAATTCAAGTGTTTTTACTTCTCATGTTCCCAAAAACAATCGTTAAATGAGTGTTATTGTAATTATGAAATCATTTCATTCAATTAAACCAGAGGATTTATAGAGATTATTTGAGTACAATATAAAAACATGGCCCACAATAACAAAAGCAAACATTTATGTAGAGAGAGCATTTCATAAGGTCACCTTTGATTTGACGGTAATACTATATGATGCTATTCTGCTATATTCGACCTTTGTTCTAAAAAATCTTTATAACCAAATAAAATAAAACATATACAAAATTATAATAATAATATACTTTATTGCATACCACATTTATATTAAATTAGTATAAAAAAGATTATATAAACCCAGGCGGTCTCTTCGCTTACTAAAAATCTTTTTCACAAGACCTTAGTAAGATAAAATTGTCATCAAAGTTTATCTTTCCAAAAACATTTCGTAATCTATTAAGTTTAAAAAAATATATGACTATTATACTTCACAGTCTACAGTCTACTCACAACCACATGATATTAATTAGGTAGGTATAGGAATGACGTTTACAACTTATCCGCTCAAAATAATTTGTAACGTCGAGAAAGATGAACAAATTTCTCACTTAAATAAAAAAAATCCTCAATTGACATACAATTATAGTATATTTATTTATTGACCCCATATTTGAATAAAAAATAATAATTGAAAAGACAAAAAGAACGTTAGGACATTAAGCTATCTAATAAAATTAGCACTAGCCATTTCAAATGACAATCATCAATAAATATATTAAAATATTAAATAATATGTCCTCAATAAGCACGAAACAACAAAATACCTTGTGATTTTATAATTGTAGTGTTTATTTAAGTGGTAGACTGAGAAATTAGAATAAACGAATTTTTTAATTACGTAATAAATATCGCGTTTTTAATCCATATAAGTAGTGTAGACGTTCATCTATATATTTTTGATGTCAGTGTTTTTAATAGAGTATGCAATACATCATAAATATGTACCATGATTCAGATGATAGATGCATGTTGAAAACTAAACGCAATATTAATTTTCGTATCATATTATGAAAATATAAACAAAGTAGAACTATTGTATTAGAGAACAAAAGTATCACATGGTCATTGGTGGCGTAATAATGGGCTTGGCCTTGGCCTTATTATGTTGGGCAATAGATAAAGGTAAAATTTTCAGGCGTTGTCAAAAATTTTCATTACGAAGACAATAAATTCTGTTTAGGTAGTATAGAATCGCTGTAGTCATGTAACTACTACAGATCAAACATTTGTTGGCTTTCCGGGGAAGTACCACTCTTCCATAGAAAATCGGCGTGAAATGGTCTTTAATGGCTGTGTTGCCCTTTCCCTATCCCCACCTTTTCATGACATTCACTTCCCTATTCTTACAAAAACAAGGTTGGCCACGCATCCGCAACAGAGATGTAGCGGATGTCCATGTGCGACGGTGGCTACTGCCCACCAAGTAGGCCGTCTGTTCGTTTGCCACCTTTAACATAATCAAAAAGAAAAATATGAAAGCAAAATAGTTTTCTTGTCACTTTGATACAATAACTGTAAGGCGTTAAAAGTGAATTGTAAGTATTTGTGGTAAGGCCGTTAGCAAACATAATAGTGAAAAATTATGACACGATTCGTATCGAAAACAATATAAAATAATCAAATATATTATCCCTTAAACGTAATTACTTAAAAAATGTATGTATAGTATCTATATAACATAATTAATTAAACACAAAATCTATAAAATATATCATTATATCTTTTCTACATTCTTCCCTCTCTTGGGTTTTACATTAAAATAAGTCAATAGTAAGGGCATCGCATCTATATCAATAGTGAAATTTATCAACCAAGTTTTTTCATTACTTCTTAGATTACTAAATTGTTTCTTTCTTCAATGTAAATAATTCTATTTACTTTCATGAAAATGCATTCGAAAAAAGTTTGTTTGAATTATTACAGTAAATCGTAACATTAACTCGTGTAAACTAATAAAATAATAACAATAAGTTCTTGTCTTACAATCAAGTCCCAAATTAGTTAGATAAAGTATATTCAACAAACTCTTTAAATTTCAGACATTGTATAAAAAAGTCACTTACCTACATTGTTGTTTTCATTCAATGAACATGAAAATAATAAACGTATACTTTAATATTTTTCTATCAGTATCTAACCTCACTTCTTATACAATCTTAAAATCATGATTATCTTTAAGTTAATATTAAAAAGATAATTCAAATAAAAGAAAATTCTCATCACTTAATTTATATAACAGTATTTAGGTATGTATATAAAAAAGGGGTCGAATTGCTTTTTAGTAATTCCCCATGCGTCGGTTGTAAGATGTTACCAGCACAAAAATACTTTAAACTGAAGATAGTTATGAGCCAATTTTCGATGAAAAATACAAGATCAATACCCTGAATATAATATTTAAATACACCATAATACTCATAAAATATAAAGAATCATTCAAATTATGAATTTTCTTCAATATTATATGTAATTGAATCCTTTTTGAATCGATTTACGTCATAATATGATATAGCAACTCAAATTTTCTGTCATAACACATTGATAATAGGCATACTGACATAATAAAGTTCAAACTTCAATGAAAAGAGAATAAGTATAACAGTATCGTTCTCAGTTTTGTTGGTTGATGTGATTATAATTTAAACAAATATTTAATCAGTTAATTTTTTCTTTCAAGAAGTGACATATTATTAAATTCCTGGTTAAAAACAAATATTCTAAGATATTTATATGATATACAATACTATTTATTGTTTTGTTTGATGAAGTATTCAGTAAGTGCCTTTTAATTATGGCTGAGATTGACAAAGCAGTGCTTATGTCTCTTGAACCATCTCATAATCTGGAGACAGCAATAGATAATGGAAACGATGAAAATAATTTTCCGAAGATGAGTCCAGTACAAATACAGCAAGAATATTATGAAAATCTTCCAGATTGTGATTGGATTAAGTATGTTAATTTTCAAACTTTATTCTAGTTGCAAAATATTTTTTTATTATCCTTATCTAGCTATACATATTATTAATGGATACTTTTATTCCACCATAAAACACCTTTTAGTTGATGATGCAATATGACGGAAAATTAAGAAGTAATGAGGTATTTTACTCAAATTGGTCCTAATTAATATTAACACCTCTTTTCATATAGATATACATATGCTGAAAGAAAATATTTATTACAAAATGTGGCATTTGCATTATTCGGAAGTCCAACAGCAGAAGGAGATTTGGCTCTGACTTCTGGAAACATACAACTAGAAGGTTACACATCACGACAAAGGGAACAAGTTATGAAAGTTTATAAATCTATCTGCAAACAAAGTAAGTTTTTCATCAGGTACAAGCACTGAACTAAATTAATATTATTATTATTACTAAAATACATTGTGTTATATAATTTTTTATACAAAATTCACTAAATTAAATATTAATATTATTATCTCCTTATTAAAGACGATAAGATAAACTCATTTCTAATTTGTGTTCATTATATATAGATTTTTGTTTTGAATCATTAACTACTTAAACAACTTTATACCGACATGTGTTTTTCATATTTTCTATTAATACTAACATAAAGCTTAAATTCAAATCTATTTTTTCAGGTAAATATGCACAAAATGATTCAGACATTTATATGTCAGTATTATTAATTGTATGTGGAAAACCAAAACCTCTTAAATTTTACGAACTTGAACCATCTAATTATTGGCTGGATTTACACCAAAGAACAGATATTGATATTTGGTGCACAGCTGTATTCAAGATAAGGAAATGCGTACCAACTGTAGTTGGAGGTATGAGGAAGCATATACTATAATTAAATAAAATTAATTATTATTTGTATACATTTATTATAATTTTTTTATTAATAGTATGTATGCTGTTGATTATTCAATTTGCCAATTAATGCCTTCATATTAGTTATGACTTTTTTCTGTATTGAAATACAATTCCAACATACTCCTATGATGATATTAAAATGTATGTCATTCAGTATTGATGTACTATTGTCCCTTTTTGATTGAAATGTTAAACACTTTGTTCAACTATTAACTTTATTTTGATTAGTATAATTAGGAATTAATTCTGTTTGCTCATTTTTAGCAAAATCTTGTAAAGTTTATGTTGATGAGAATGGCAGGGTTTACCACTCCTGGGAGTCATATTTGAAAGATAACACATTACCTAAATGTGTTATTATAGCTCCTGAAAACGGCGAATATCAAGGTGTTGTTACTGAGGTGAGTTTCATGCACTATTTGAATAAACTTGTATATAATGAATTTCTACAGAATAGGGATATAAAAATATAATGTAAATAATTTATTTTTCATATAAAGAACAATTTGGAACAAATAAATCATTATTCTGCCACATATCTCATAGGGCAACAAATAAAAATTTTTTTGTATATATGTATGTATATGTGTAATATTCTTTCAGGGTGATCACATGTTTGCAGTGAAGCTAACAGTGGCGCCATCACCTTCATTGGGGTTAAAGGCCAGAGTTCTAAGTTCAGTGGACACAGCAAGCACCGTTGCTACTTTAGGTGCTGTTGGTGTACTCGGTGTTGCTGCATTCACACCTGTAGGGCCAGTAGTCCTTGCTGGTGCGGCTGTAGCAACTGTTGCTACCGGAGTCTATGGCCTTTTCAGATCATCACTACACCTCCATGATAGGAAGATTCATGAGCAGGTGGATTGAGAATATATTATGTGTTATGCTAATGATATAATACAATAACTTTTATGTGTTCTATGATGACATTGAACATAGTAGGCTACCTTCTTATTTCGATCAAGTTAAAAAAATTGTTAATATTCCTTTGTTAAGTTAATCTAATCTTATTTGTTGCTTGAATTATTTAAAAAAAGCTATGACAATTATCCATTTTTGTGTTCCAGACTTTGAGCCCCACAGACCCCGAAGCCCGTGGTAGTTGGCTGAACATAGCTGCATCCAGTGTGGGACTCGCTGCAGGTGCCGCTAGCACTTTACTATCAAAATCAGCTGCCGCCGGCACCAATCTTACCAAGGTTATTTTTCCATTTGTATATAGAACCTTTTTTTTAATAATTAACAGATGAAAAATAATATTTAAATTGAATGAAGTCAACAATAGTTGAACCTAAGTCATATATTCAACTACCTGTAAATATGAGAGAGAAAAAAGTAATAGTACATAAATATTTATACTTAAGCACTTATACCCTTGCTCATAGTGCATAATATATAATTTAAATAGATAATTTTCTATTAATAAAGTTTAGATACTTCACGGTGACGTCATCGGATCATGTCGTCAATTTATATTTACATATGTATTACGACGTTAGCTACCAATGAGTCATTCCTATGTTTCTTATATTATACATAAGTCACGTATTTTCTATAATACTTTTTGACTTGAGAATAAAATCAAAATTTACATATGCATATTGTTACAAATTATTTCCCTCACTCTAAACAAGAATTCTGGTAAAAATTTATTTATTTAGTCTATGTCTTTAAAATAAACGCCAACAATAACATTAGTATGTATAGTATTTATAATCTATATAATAACTTTCTTTGCAGACGGGTCAAGCTTTGGCAGTGTCGGTTGAAGTTCTTCGTCATGCGAACATAATAACAGGTGGAATGGGTGTACTAAACAGCTTAGTACACATAATTGTCAAGGTATGAAAAATTAATTAGTTTTATATGAAAATTTTATTACTTATACATTCGGTTATATTTCATTTGAGGTACATTGTTAGTTTACACTTCTAAGAAAATAAAAATTAGACAATAAAAAATATATGAGTTCCTAAACGTTACATAAAAGCCTATTTTTTAATTATTTCTGTATGTCATAAATTTTTTAATATCCATCAAATTTAATATATTTAATTTTTATATCGTGATCTGTTAATTGGGTTTTTGAATTATTTTTTTTTTTGTGATAAATGGAAAGATCATATATAAGTTTAATAACAAAACTATTTTTATTTTATTTTTTTTTGCAATATTTAAAAAGTTATTTCAAAATAAAAATTAAATTTTAAATTCAGTACCGAAGACAAGCCGACAGCTCGTGAATAAACCCGAGCGCGTGTGACGTCACAATGTTAGTTTTTGCTCATTGTAGCATACAGAGATATAATAATTAGTACAGTGTTTTGAGTTTTTATCTAGTAAATTCTGTTGGCATTGTTAAATAATCAAAAGTTTTGTACCATTATGTACAAAGACTACAAAAACAACTCCTGAAAAAATGTTTTTAAATGTTCCACAAGACGAAAAACGTCGAAAGAAATGGTTTCAAGCAGTGCATCGAGATTATTCAAAAACAAAATCATTTTTTTTTGTTGTGAAGATCATTTCGTTGTAAGTTTTCATAATAGTATTGTTATTAATTATTATTTATCTAAGTGTATAAATCGAATAAGTATAGTTCAATAATTAATTTTTTTACCTGGGCTCCAAATCATAACCTTTAGAATCGTAGCATTAAAAAATTTTAATTGATAATTCAAAGCGATTAAATAGTAAATCTATATATATGTTTGTCTAATAATTGGACTTCAATTAATAGATATTTTCATAATTTTATAACATTCTAGGTTCTGTATCAGACTACATTTAAATTTTTAAAGTACATATATGTTATTTTGGTTTTTTTATAATGTTATAATAACATTTTATTAATAATGATTTAATGAAATAATTATTAATTATATTTAATAGAGAATAAATACTAATTTTCATTTAGAATAGTATTTTTGACAGACTTACCTTGATGTCTTAGCACCTCGAACTTCAGCAAAATTAAACCGCACTTTTTAAAAATTAGTTATCATAAAAATATATTAACATCAGGAATATTATCCGATTTTGCTTTTATAAACCCTTTATCACACATAGTCGAAATAAACTTTTCAAATCGTTTTTCACTAATAAATTTGAGATATTTTTATCAAGTTAAAGATAATAGCCATAAACACTGTACTATTATGAAATTGCTTTAACATTATGACGTCACAAGTATGCTGACCAATCATGGCGCGTTTACAGTCACGTGATATATTTTTGAATTTTATCAATTTTTAATTGTTTATAATTAATTTAAAAAATATATTTCAAGTTTTTTGCATTAAAAATCCAATATAATTAATAATAAAGTTTTAAAATACATAAAAAAAATCAATACTTTTTTTTTTTTCAAAAACCCAATTATTGAATGTGGACCTATATTATTATGATTCATGTCAAATACAGTTTCGATTGCAATATGATATAATTTTCTATATATATTATCTTAATAAATATTCATTCTACATTAGAAAGGCTAACATTTAACTTTTTTTGCAAAACGAAAATTATGTCAACAATAAATCAATATTGAACATTTTATTTCAAGCTTTCTCTTACTACTACACTACTTCATTTAGAAAAAAAAATACAGTTACCAAACTTAGTTGTTTCAAAGTTTTTTGTAGCTTCTTTATCAAGCCAATATAATTTTTTTAACCAATTTTTTTAGCCAATTTAATTTAACTTATAAAGATAGAATGTTGTTATAATAACATGAATATAAATATTTTCAGTACACAAAACATGGTGAGAAGCCAACAACCCTGGAATTGTTCCAATTCTCAGCGGCAACACTATTCTTCTGTCATGCTGTGGTATCAAACAAAACAGCACAGAACATTGTAGAAGATGCCCAAGCTAACACTATAAACGAATATAGAACCACACTAAGAAGCAATAAGCACAGGTAATGTATAATTTTTATCTATCAAACCTAAATTTACATAATCACTAATAAAAAGAATAATTTATACAGTAAAATATTGAATAAGGATATTTTTTCCATTATATATCTCCAAAGGTAACATGGACACGTAAAAGTAATGACTAAAATTACCCTTTTAAGCCATTACAATAACCCACTTCACTTGACTTCAATATTATATTTTCATCGTGTCTTACTTATTAATATTAATAAATAAGTATTTAGTTATGTATGGATAATATTAAGAAGTGTAGTCGTATAATGAAATATAATTTTTTTTTAACTAAATCTGTTCGTAAAAACGATTTATTTCATTTCATAGGAAGATATTCGATAAAATCAGCGCCGAATCCCGTAGAGTGAGTGGCACGGTCCAGGGTAATGTTGAAGTGATCCGAGGCATCAAGAATATTGCGAACAAAGACCAGTACTTTGCAGATGTTCTGAAGATAAACAAAGACGTCAATCAGCACAAACTTAGGATATCTATGACGTCAGACGGTCAGGTTAAATTGAACGCTGTGCACAAATTTAATCCTTCAGAGCTATACAATTTAGGTAATGAGGGTAGATCGCAATTATTCTCATCGATAGGACCAGCTACTGTCACCACTCCTAATGTTTCAACGCGAGTGGCACCTCCAGTTAATGCAGTACCGGGATATATTGAGGGCGAAGAAGAATCAAGCTTTCTAGTTGGAATCCATCCAGGAGAGATTATTCGCATCGGCACTTTGTTGATTCGTGTTAGTTCTTCGGGTGCTGAGAATATATCATTGATGTTAGAAAACCTCAGCCAGGATGTGTACGCCAATCTAATGACGGTTGCCTTCAACCTCCTATCGAAGCTATTACCAGAGGAAATAGCAAAGCTGAGGCTACTAAGCCCTGATGAGGACTTGATTTACCAGATTGTAAAATTCGTTTTCAATTATCTTAGACACCAACGCCCTCTAGGTGAGGCGTGTGACAATGATAACGGTATTGTCGTTATATTGAAAGAATTCTTCCAAAATGGCGTCGTCCGTCAAGATACCATCCTGAAGTTAAAGGATAATCTTATAAATTGGATGAACAACGAAATCGATGAGAGACGTAGGTTATACCCAAATAAGATACTTATCAGATGTCAAACATGTGACGGTGTTAGATATGCTTAATTCAAAAATTTTACATTCAAAACTGTTTTACATACATGGAATGAATTATCTTTTATAAATTTTTACCCGTTATTATGTATAAATCTAAGAGACATATCAATATGTGATCATTTTTATACACATAAAAACTTTGCTATATATTTTCTAGATGCCTTTAATATTGTATAACAATCAGCACTTGTTTAAGAAATATATTAGAGCTTCCTATTATGAACTAGCTTTTATTGTCATATATAAAATAATCATATGTTTATTTAAGATAATGTTATATAATATAAATTATATTAAGATAGTAAAGTAATCATTTTAATAAGTCACTATTGGAAATTTACCAAATATATTTAAATTTATTTACATGTTAATACAGTAATCGATTTTTTGACACTGTTACGTAGATTATAGAATATTACGCATAATGGGTATGTTATAATTGAGTGAAGCGAGTTTTCTAGCCATTCATCCACGGATATAATCTCGGGAACCGAATGTCTGAGAGTCGAAGTCATTTTTTCGATAGAAGACTAATCTAGGGTGAATTTATCAAAAAAAATAGGATGGACCATCAATTTGAATTTTAGGGCCAGTAAACGGAACCCAAGTCCAAATGAAAACGATTCAGTACGCTTCACTGAACTTGCACCTAGAGGCATTTTTTCTAGCGAATCGAGAAAACAATGTATAGGAGCATCTCCATGTTTATTGTTATAGTTAATCCAGTTTTTATTATCTGTGATAAAATATTTATCACTGGCTATTTTTAAATTGATAGGAAACACAATTATTGTGCCTTGGCTATTTGTATTGTTCCTTGTATTATTAAAGTATAAAGATGGGCTTATGATTTTATATTAATAAAAGAATATAATGTATGTATTGTTTTATTTTATTTTGAACTTGCATTTATCTGGTATGTGTATCAAAAGTATTCACACAGCTACTAAGTATAGAATTATAGGAGTAAATATGAAATAAATTTCTAAATCTTCTTAATTCATTCGGCCGATGATTGCCAAATTTCGGCAAGTGTTTATTTATTTTTAATTTCGGCAATTCTTCAATCCACTGGTCTGTTACAAATACATTATCTGTTTGTAAAAGAAAGTTGAGTTAGTTACACTATTGATAACTTAAGATATTTAATTTGGCCCATTGGAAACAAATTATATATAATAATTCCAATATCTGATTATTTCTGGCCTCTAGGATGGAAAAGTTAAATTACCAATTCTGAAATTTACGTGGAAGAAGTCACGAGCCAAAACTAGTACTCAATATGAAGAAAAAACGTAAAAACTAAACACTAGGTAAGTGTTAGTGGGTACGAATTGTGGTAAAAGTTCTTTTGGAGTTTTCTATTTTGGGACGATTGTATCAGTATAGCGGTGCCTAATACCACATTTACTCTATCTCTGCAAACTGATAATCACTAACTAGTCGGCAACTGAACAGTTTGACCACAAATTCAACAAACTTGCAAATGCACACAAAAATCCTGCTTTTTGTGAACAGTACTAATATTAATGGCGTTGTTTAAAACAAATTGTAAAACGGAAATAGCGAAGCATTAGTTCAAGTGAAGCCTCAAGGAAAGGTTAATATTTTAAATTCAACTTGAATAAATTGCATATAGTTAAAAGAAATATTACTTTGGTATATTTTATTGTACTGAACAAGTTATAAAACTATTGTACATTTGAAATTATTGAGCCATTCGCAGATTCTTTTTTATCGTCCCCTGTCCCCGGAGGATTATACTCAAAAAATTTAGCAATAAAGTACCTGTAAACAAATATTTTACATTATTTATATGTATATGGTTTTTAGTTGATAAAATTCGGTATCATGTTTCTTTTGCCTTTGATATGTTTATCTGTGAGCAACTAATGAGAATTTATCGAAGCCATAACAAATACAAAAAACATTATTAACGATAATTCGAGTCGATGTATAATAGGCTGTTAATAATAGCTTTACAGAACTTAGACGTTAGTTAACTAAGACCGAACCAAACGAGAATCTCAACGGTGATAAGCAAACACGCTGCAAATGTTTGGACGACGACGACTATAGGGTTTGATGTGCCTCGTAGAACTGCTGCTAGCAACGCATCGCTTGCATCGGAGGCAGCCTCTAATGCTGCAACGAGCAATGCAGGTGCTGCTAGCCATCGAGCACCACGACGCCACCAGGATTGCTAGAATTAAGTCAACAAAACATTACTATGACGCATTAAGCTTATTTTACAATGATGTTTGTAAATATAATTAAGAGCAAGCACGGATTTAAGACACTTGAATGAACTGCCACACAATGTATGGCACAAACGGATATTTGTCAAGTCTCTGTATAAGTATTTGAACTAAAATAATTTATTGCAAAAAGACAATACGATAATCTTAGGGGTACGACCTATATTTATATTTAATAGTTATTGATATTAATTATTGCGTTTGAAAAACAATACAATTGTACAAATAAACTATTTATGATGATAATAAATCTCATATTATGGCGAATTTTAATACCGAATTCACAAAGTGAGTACCCTAATTACAAGTCAGCGTTTATTAAAATGAAAATTCGAATTAAATAGCAAGTATTATGAGTGAATGAAAGAATGAGGTAGGAAATTTTATTTTAATATTATTTTGCAATACATTGATTCATGCGAGAATAGCAAAAATATTATAGCAAAACGTATAGATATTATATAATATAACCTTAGACATAACAGCAACGAGCAGCAATAGAGATGTTGTTGCAGTGACAAACGCGCTCAGCTTTCCATAACCCATCATGAGACGTATTGTTGGTTTAGTTATCCTGTATTAAATAATGTATAATTATTGTATGTTAAAACTATCACCAATTAGACATTAAAAATGAAAACGTTTAAAAGATAGCTAGTTAAAGCAATTATATGCTAGTCGTCATTTGATTTAAACAATAAATGAAGGCATAAATGATCTAAGTACTGACCAAATTAACTAAGTTACCTGTTATTTATAATTTTAGTGTTTTAAAAGAATAAAATTAATAAGCCAATTCTTGTATTTTTTTATATTTCCCAAGGCCTATTAGCCTTCGATCAATTTACAGGGAGGTTTAAAAAGAAACTATTAAGATTGTATTAAAAATTTTGTTAAAATGTTCATATTTTTAACTCTGCAATACATTTAGTTTTATGATTAAAAAGCTTCAAATCCATTATTTTCTGTACATACATCTGGATGTTTAAAGTAATTTATAGAATAGTAATAGTAACACCTTCTAGCAAAGCTGACATTGTTGAGTTTGTTAGTGACATCGTCATCTTCCATTTCCAACTCCACGGGCTGTGAAGCGAAAGCGCACGCCGACATTGAAACACCCAAAAGTGCAACCAGTAATGCTCGTAATTTTACACGTATACCGTCGTCACTTTCGGCATTTGCTGCATTAATCTATAACATTGATTTATTGCATTATTTTTTCTATTGCAACCCCGAAAAGAGACAGCCGAAATCGTTTTCAGATTAATTATACTTATTAATATTCGTAGTAGTGGTATCTTTAGAAATACCAAAACAAGTTGATCCTGACGTAGGAATTTTGTAGGCAGTTGACTTGGCGACATTCAATGATAAACGTGTGAAAGTATCAATGAAAATATCTTAATAAATGATTCCTGTTAAAAAAACTATGGCAATACACACTTCAAATATAAATTGTAGACTACGAATCAACAGCATTAAATTAAAAAATAAATTTTTATATAAGAATTAAGCCGTGATGATAATAATTCTTGATAGGTGTACCTACAAATTGCTAAACAATAACATGGAAATATGTTACGGTTTTGTGTGTAATATGTATATGTAATATACAAGTTAAATAAGCTTCTAAGTTATCAATACGTACGGAATCCTCAGTATTATGTTTGTTTCGTATCTGATCCAATATTGAACCGCTTTGCGTTTCCATGTTTAATCGGTACAGGTATTTGTACTCTGCACCCTCCATGCAGAATATTATATAAACTCCATTAGTGTGTATGAATTAAGTAACTAATTATTGGATATCATAAAAACATGGTTTATTTGTCACATAACAGATGTCACAGGGGATTGCATTATGTTGTAACTCACGCTGAAGTGTTTTTCTAGACGGCCTATGACGATTTTTATTTCTTTTTAATACAGTTTGTTTTGATTATATGAAACCTTCTATATAATGTAAATGATATTTAGAGATAAAAATATAGTTTTTTCCATAATTTTCTTATTAATAAAATGTAGAGATTGTATTAGGTTTAAACCCTGGTCATCAAATTCAGTACAATTTTAAAAGATCTTTGTTCATCAAGCCGTCTAAAATTAATATTCTTTGCTATTATTAAAACCAAAATAATGAATCTATTTATACGATAAGACGTACCTATGTAAGCAAAAAAGACGTGACGTGTTTAATTTATTATGATAATTGAAATATAAAACATATATTTATCGGCATTACTTTGATATTACTAGTATTTTAGTATCATTGGGAGGTTAGGGATATTATACCTGAACTGAAATAGTCCACTAAAACGTCAACTACGAAATGAAGTTGAAAAATCAACTTTAATAAATATATCTAGAGAATAGAATACATTCCCCCTTGTAGAAAATTATTAAAAATATTAATATAAATTCTGTAAAAATATATTGAAATATTAATTAAACTTATTTAAGGTTTACGGCAGAAACTGTGATTAACGTGGTTTTACATTTTTCATTAAAGAGTGTATTTTTAGGAAATCTTGGGATTTATAAAAGGTTAAATAAAGATTACAAGGTGTTACGTTTAAAATAAAAAAAAGAATCAAACTGATTATAAATAAACGCTTGATACATTTGAAATTGAACATATAATGACTTATACTCAAAGATCGCAAAGACACAAATATTGTCTAAAAACACAAAACTCTTGAAGCCAGTTGAAGGTCATCAATAATATAGCTGTTACATTGTTTCGTAATTTATTTAATGATTTAAAGTTCACTTCAATCAGAAACATTAACGTATTAAGAACTTTTACAACCAATATTAATATTTGTCCCGTTAAATGTGGTAAAAATAGAGATGGATTTTCCTGAAAAAAAATAATAATTAGAATAAGTACGGACTTCATATAATGTACAGTTTTAATTCTATTATTTTGTACTATTTCATCTAAATACCGTCAAGCATCCAAATAAAAGAGATGTATATTGAACTAATCCTAAAGAAGTTGCAATTATTTCCAAATCATGAACAGTCATTCTCTTATGATGGGTTCCTAAAATTCTTTCTTGGTTTGTAAATGGTACCTTTCCAATATGATCCTTTAAACGACGTGCGCTGAGACACTGTTGAAAAATGTTATTTAATGTTTTCAAACACAATAAAGATATGGTTTTCATATGATCTACTTACCAACCCAAGAATACTATACACATAAGTGTATGGTAAGCTTAAAGAAAATGTCGGATAAGAGCAAAACAATTTCGTATGCGACAAGTACGGCTTGAGCATTGGCCTAAGAATTTTGTTAAAAGGTAGCTTCATTATTTTTTATATTTAAAAAATAGAATATTCAGATGTACACAACATACCTACTAAAATGGCATTTTTATAATTGTATTTTAATAATTTATTTAGACATCATGTCAAGAATACCTTATTGAAATGTCCAAAATTCATGACGTATTTTGACAATTAAATTTTCCTTAGGGGTGATATTCAATAAAACCTTCGAGTAAAAAACCTTAGAGTAATAATTAAAGTTGGGTTGGCTATATTTATGCTATTCATTTGTGTAAAATTGGTTTTATAAAAAGAAGAATATAATTAGGTTTAAAAAATATATTGTTTAAAATTTAGCCGTTTCATTTGTTTATTAACTTTCTTTTCGGCAAATATTAAATTCGTGGTGTAATTTAATATTGCAAAAAAATATTTCTTAACTTACCTACTAATATACTTAAATTTTTGGTGCGAAGCTTGATACTTAAAAATAAATAAAAATGAGAATTACCCTAACGTAGTAGTAGTACGTTCATAAGTATGCATTTTAGTTTACATATATTTTTAGACTTGCAAAAAAAGATTTATTCTTAATTTATCCACAACCTCCTCCTATTCAAGTTAATGCGTTGTTGAATATGTTTCAAAGTTCTTTAGTTTGATATGCTTCCTTCACAAGCTGTTTATGTATAAAAAACTTTCCATTCCGTCATTCACCTCTATATTTATTTTGATATGCAAGATTACATTAGATGACTGTACACATATAAGTACGCATGTTAAAATATATTAGAAAGTATTGAAATATTATATTTCGTCCCTTGACTTACCCAAGGCAAAGAAGTAAGATTAAAAAAGCATTCTGGATCAACTTTTAATATTTTTTATTAATATTTTTTTTGCGATTAACTTTTAAAAGAAATAAAAGAATATGATACTATTTTCAGAGAATTGAATTATTGCAAAGGGTATTATATTTATTTAATTTATTTTTCCATTGCAACAAAAATTCATCGCCGAATGTTTAAATTTCAAGCACAAAATAAGTAATTGTGGTATATTTAAAAATAACTAGATAATTTAGATTTTTAAAATAAAATATTTTTAACACAAAAGAAATAATAATAATTAATTAACTCATGTGACTTTCTGATTACTAAATTGCATCATAAATAACTCGAATATTCTCGCAATATACATCGTCCCTAGAGTACCCAGAACATTGACTGAGAAGTGTATCTTTGATAGCGTATTTTGGGTTCATTCTTTGACATCCAGAGGAAAAAAGATGGGAGAGGAAGGGGTGGTGCCTGGAGGATGTAGCCACAAAATTTCCCTCAGGACTGATAGATAAATAGTTAGATTTCCTGTCATTCTTTCTCACAGACTTTTTCCAAAAAGGATTCTTCAATGCATAAGAGTCCATCTGTAAGGGTCTTGGCATGTAATACGAAGGTCCTTCATTAAAAGAAAATCCAGAGGAATCATAAAACAGATAGACTTGAGGTATGTCATAAAGGAACATGGATGCATTTGAAAATACGTCAAAATTATTTTTTAACATTCCATTAATCTCATTAGATAACTTACTCTTCGATTCGATAGTTTTATTGCTTTTATCTATTTCAGTGTGTACATTTACTGTTGTAGAATTTAGGATACTATTTTCATTTGGATTTTGTAAAGCACTTGAATTTGTTATATTAGACTTTAAATCGATCCCTTCTGGATTGCTAAAACGTTTTGTTCTATTTTTGGGCTTCAATGAATCGCTCTCATCAATAATAATTGTAGAACTGATTGGTGTATGGAAAAATGTGAGCGTCTCATTCAACATCTGATTTATTGCATCAAATAATGTAGAAAAGAATTTATTATCTTCTAAATTATCTAAAGATTTAAATGTATCTGCATATTTAACTGACTCTATTCCATTGTTATGTTGTCTTAAAATTGCATTAATCCGATGATCTATTTTCCGATCGCTATTAAACTGGTTATTGAATGCAACCAGATCTAATCCTATACCACCATTTTGCCATGTGGCAAATATTCTTGCATAAAATGGTAGGTAGCTGAGAGCGATTGTTCTCCACTTATATTTCAAAGGTGTCATTGCCATATACTGACTCAAATACAAAATGCTAATGTTAACGTTTTGATATTTTTCTTGAAACTCCATTATTTCTCGTCTTTCATGGTTCTTAAAAAAGTTTTCATGCAATTGTGGGACCAATCTCTTAATGAACTTTAAATGCCTCGAAGCCAATGGATTTTCAAACGAATCGTCAATTAAAAAATAAACATAAAAACGTAAAAGGGGATACTGTCTCGCCATATATGAGAGATATCTTGAAAATATAGAAAAGGGCACGTAAGAATCACGAGATACGATATGATGGTAAAAAACGTCGCTAGCAGGCTTCGATTCGTTACATCTTACAATAACAACCGGCTGTCTTGGGTAAACATTCATTGTCCAAGCGTAAAATACCAAGAAGGAGATTGCCACCAGAACGATAGTCATCCAGCAAGCAGATACAAATTCTGAAAACACCAGGATATATTATTTATTACAACAAATTCATTTATGCATACGAATATAAATACAAGTTTCACCGTGTAAATGAATGAAACGCTTAAAGAAACTTTGCTATCATAAGTCTAAGTTTTGGAAGACTCTACTCGGAAATCGGCAGTTTTACTCATACATTTAACTTATATAAAAGAGTATGTATGTGACAAAATTCTAGGTTAAAGTTTGTATTATATATAAATGGCTCATATATTATGTTTTGTTTACCGACCGGGCCAACGACTACACCATGATTGCTTAGTTCCATTCGCACAAGTGACATTCCATCGTGATGATACAACGGAGGTAGTTGGTTGGGTTCTAGTGATGCTATCCCCGGCTCCACCATCTACTTTCAGCAAGGGATATTGCTCATCTCTAGGCAACAGCGTTGGATGCTCCATACTATACAGTATACAATAAAATGAACATTGAAACGAATATAATTTCACAGTTTCCTTTATATTTATTTAATATAAAATCATTTTAATTACCTTAATAAAATAACATCAAAGTATCATTTAAAATTCTGTCGCTAAAAATGAATGTGATAATGTGACATAAAATTTTGGGATTCTTTATTTAAAATTTTTGACAATGATTTTAAGAAATAAAACATATTATGTCTTGATTTATCTATACGAAGTCATATTATTTAATTTATAATTACTTTTAAATAATACATAGTAACAATTACGAAAACTAGGACTTATGTTTCATATTAGTCTCCAAAAAGATTTAATAAAAAGTTTGTTTTTAAATAAAACGAAATATGGTTGATTTAGAAAAAATATGAATACATTCTGGGCAATGTTTTTAGCCATTTAAGCGATTTTTTCTTATATTTTTTATGTAAGCGTGTTAATTTATTAAACAAACATATATAACTAATCAGTTTTCATTGAACATACCTACATTGACGTTAACTTTAGGAATATGTATTGCAAAAGTCTTAAAAATCATATCTCTGAATATTTCAGTTAGGCACTAGAATCATATGATATGAAACATCTCGTCGTATGATAGGTTAAAAAGAGATTGAACATTTTTAAGATGTAGAAATAGCCTTCACCTTAATTTACTTATGAGTAATGTGCGAACTAAGTAAATTATTACAAAATAATATCGAAGTCTGTACGTGAGACGAATGCTTGTTGAATCAACAAAATTAATGCGTTAATTATGAACGTGCTAAGAATTATCGGAGTAGAATTATGTCTCATTGTATTTAACTGATCAATGTTACAACTAGTTCTTAACTTTACAATCCTCAAAAATATCTAGTGCTATAATTTTCAATATTTTGGTGTGACGATAAAACATTTTTATATATTTTTTTATTATATATAAAACTGAACTAAATGTTAAAAGTAATTGTTTGTAGTTCATTATTTAAAAAATATTAAGAAAGAGGTTATATATCATTTCAAAATTGTAAGTGACATTACGTTGACATCTTTAATTTTAAAAAAATCCTAAAAATCGTACGATATTAGTAATATGATTCTTTATTAAGAAACAAACAACTGAAAATATTTGTGTTATATCTACAAATTAAAAAATTGTAAATACAATCAGTTCGGTAAGTGTCAAATGAAAATATTTTTTTTATAATAGACCTTTACTCAACAACTCTAGTGTTTAAATTAAATAATTTCAGTTCATCTAATGGATAGTAATGAGTAAATCTCATCGTGAATTACATCCTTTGCTTTGCGATGAGTATTCAGATGAGGAAGTTCATACCTCAAGTCCCAAGTATCATAAACGATATTCAACCTCCTCTGGCAGAGCTAGAGCACAAGTAAAGGGTGCTGCGGCTATTCTTAACCGTTGGCCAGGTATGTTTTTTATTTAGTACATCACATTAAAAATGTAAATTTATGTATGTTAAATTCTTTCTTTTTTGTGTTTCAGATCATCTTACTACTATATTAATATACTGGTGGATAGCGTTCGGTATGATCGCTGTATTAATTTTTGTTATTTACAACAGTGTAGTTGCTATCGCTTTACTACCACAAACACATTTAAGGCCAGCGAAATTGCAGAGTCTCGAAAACAATATAATCGATGCGTCTCCAGATGCCTTGTTACCTAATATATTTATGCACGTTTTTGTAAATAATAGTAATATTTTAAATGTTAAAGAACATTTATGGTATATAGAACCATTTGCAAAGAAATATTCATTATTTCAAAAGAACCTTATTTTTGTTATTAATGACTATACCGATGATATTATCAGTGTCAGTGATGAAATGAAGAACGAAATGGCTTTAAATTCTCTTTGGTCAAAACAAAATGATGTTGTAAAAGGGAGATTTGAAAACAATATAACATATAAAGTCATCTCACTATCTAAATATATGGACGACTCTCCAATAAGAAAGTTTTGGCGACGTTTACCACAACAGTTTATGCAGTTTCTGACAAGATGTATAGCTATTTGGGAAAAAGGAGGAGTCGCATTTAATCCTGAAATACTTGCCTCTCACCATTTCAGTCCAGTTTACAAACAAAAAATTTATACGTTTCTAAATCAATATGTTAACGTTACTAAAACCACGCCGCAATATAAAAAGAGTGAAAAAGTGAAAAATAAAAGAAGATTGAATAATATTCGTGATATTATAGAAAATTTAGAAAATGAAGACAATAGTAATCAAATTCAATATAACCTTTCAGAGGCTGAAAATGTGAAGATTATATCAACCGTTAATTATAGCACAAAAAATAGGAGAGACATCCGATTGGAGATCTTAAAAAAACGTAATGCTAGAAAAAGTTTATCCCAGGAACAAATCGATACGAGTAGTCTAAATAATTACAGTAATGTTAATAATAATAACAATTCTAACATAACTAATATTTCTAAACAACAAAACAACAAGAGTAAAGGGAATGATATAACGAGTAAACAGAAACTGTTACCCATTTTTCTAAAATTTTTGCATCCAGAACCCCCAAAAAGCTTAGAACGTAATGATTCAATAAGTGAAACACAAAAGAAAAGATTGGTACACGATAATGATTCTGTTACGAAATCAAAGAAAATCAAAAATCATAATCACTCTCCAAAATCCACAGAAACGAAAGAATTAAAATCTTCCGATTATATTGTTGATAATACAAAATTGTCCGTCGATTTAAAAGGTAATTTAGTCGCGACTAATACATCTTGTCACGCATTTATTGGTTCAGTTTTTAGTAATGCTATACATCATTCTGAAGAAGAATCCGTTACAGATTTTATCATAAAAGAATTATCAATATTTTGTAAAGGAATTTTGTCTTCATGTCGTGGTGTGGATGTTATTTTATTATAAGTTTTATTTTATAATGCTTAGTCGTATTACATTTTATTGTTATGTTTTTAGATTTGAATTGAAATAAAAGGTTAAATTGAAATAAGTTATTTATTATTTCCCTTAGTCTAAAGTTTCGTGTTCAAAATAATGATACTCATCAATATTTTGCACACAAAATGGTAAATATCCCGTACATCTTAATATTATGGCAGCAATTTCTTTGAAACCTGGGTTGAATAAATTTAAGCCGCAGACTAGATTTTATAATTCACAAAATGAAAATTGAAAATATGTCGATTAAACATTAATCTTAAATCTTATTCGCTTAAAAATACACATCTAGACCTTATATTGCACATGCTTGTGACATTAGAGCTTGTTAAAATTCCTTCGTCAATATGCTATATTGCTTTGTTCCACAGGTATATCGTATCTCGTATTCCAATTGTATGACGATAGTTTACAATCCCTGACTTTCCTTATAGCTTCACATCGTCTGCTAATAGACCAATATACAAATCCTTCTGGGCATTTGTACACGTATCCCCTCAATTGTCCACTTGTTGAGTATTCACATTTTAAAAAGGCTGGTGAACATTGTTCTTGTTTTTGAAATGGAAAATGTCCAGCTCCTGAACATCTTAAACTATTTTCGGATACAATAACCTAAAAAATTCATAAAAGACATATATAAAATAAAATATTAACGATCTTTATACATAGGACAAAGCTTTAATTAGAAATTATTATACATTCTACTTACTATAGATATGTACTCACCGGTTCATTAAAATAAGCTCCCAATCGTTTTATTCTATTTCTCTGAGATATTTGCCCGTTGCATTTTTTAGTTGCTTGTTTTTCTTCTACACACTGAACCTTATTTTCATCGTAAATAGTGTTATTGGGACAGTGAAACACAGCTATTTTTACTTCATGATTATCATTATCCTCTGTGCATTGATAGAACAGGTTACAATATTTTGGATGTCTTTTGAAAGAAGTTGGACAAACATATAAACTTTGATCCTTTTCAGTATCAGGACAATCTTTGTTTGATTCTGTACTATTATCCTGACTATTCGTGGCAGTGGTAGATTCCATAGTCGTACTTTGACTTTCAGTAGTAGATGATGAAATCTCTTCCGTGGTAGTAGTTATTTCTGTGGTACTAGCTTGCGCTAATGTTGACGATGTTTGAGCACTCGTAGTTGTAGATTCATCCACAGTTGTAGTTGTTGATACAGAAGTAGTTACCTCTGTCATATCAGTAGTAGTTTGTGATGATGAATCTGTCGTCGGCTCTTCACTATTTGTTGTTGATGTTTGTTGCGTGGAAGATTCGTTTGTAGTCGAAGCAATTGTTGTGGTGCTAGGTTTAGTTGGAGGTTCAGTACTTGTTGACATTGTTACTGTAGAAGTTTCTGTGGTCGACGTTTGGGATGTTGTTTGTTGAGATGGAGTGGTAGAGGGTTGTGTCGTCGTCATTTGAGTGGTAGTGGACGTTGACTCTGTTGTTGAAAATGTTGTAGTAGATGACTGTTCTGTTGTCGGTGAAGTAGTAGTACTCGTTGTCTCAGCTTCTGTTACAATACCAGTAGATTCTGTTTCGGATTGCTTCGTGGTAGATACTTCCGTAGTTGAAGGAGAAACACTACTTGTTTGATTTTGTTGTTCTTTACCATTGCAATTTCGAGGTGGATAAACTGATTCCTCGTGGTTACAAGTTTCTAAAGCTGGGTCCCAAATGGTTCCATCACCACACTCAAAGTAATATATTGAAAACTTTTCTCCATTATTCTCCCAATCTACACAACGGTAAAACTTTTTACAATCATTTGGATCGGCGTAAAAGCCGGCCTTGGTACATGTATAGTTTTTAGTATTTTCATAATCTGAATTAGACTGGGAACAGTTTGAATTAGAATCTTTTATAGTTGTTGCAGAATCCATAGGTGTTGATGATGAAATAGAAGGTTGAGGGGTAGTGGGTGGAACGGTTGGAACGTCAGTGTTACTACTTGTTTTTGTTGTTGTTCTACTAGTGCTGCTAATTGTCGATGAAGTTCCATTTAATTTACATGATGGGTTTAATACATCCTCGGCATGATTACAAGCTAAAATATCTTGATCCCAAATAGTGCCATCACTACAAGTAAAATCATATTTCACGAAGCCTTCATTTTCATTGCTAACGCATCTATAAAACTTTTTACAATCCTCTTTATCTCCGAAGAAGCCTTCTTCCGTGCATATAGTTTTGTCAGGAAGATTGGTACTTGAAGTTGTCGGGTGCAATGTTGTTGATGTCGTGTTTTCTTGTGTTTCAGATACTGTATCAACTGTGGAATCAGGTTTCATTTCTGTTTCCGAAATATTAACACTTTTACAACTGCTTACCTGATCAATATAATTGCACGATTGAATAAGAGTGTCCCAAGCTGTTCCTTGGGCACAAGTAAATTCATATTTTGTGAAACCACCTCTATCATTTTCTACACATCTATAAAATCTTTGGCAATCATTTTTATTTGGGTAAAAACCTTGATTCGTACACTCTTCGTTATCTTTTTGATTACCATTATCTTCAACTGAGCTTTGTGTGCTCGATGAAGGGTCTGTTACGACACTTGATGTGTTAGTTTCTACTTGAGGAGAACTATTTGTTGTTACAACGTTCTGCTCGTTACAACTATTTTCACCTGTATCGTGATCACAAGCTTCAATTTCTTGAACCCAAACTGTTCCTTCTCCGCATGAAAATTCAAATTTATTATAACCACCCTTACCATTATCAACACACCGGAAGAATTTGTGGCAATCTACAGGATTAGCAACAAAGCCTTCAGCTTTACATTCTTTATCATCTGGTTTTGAAGGTTCCTGAGCATTTGTGATTGAAGCGTGTGTTGTGGATTCAGCACCTTCAGTTGGGATCGTAGTATCAGTTTGAGGCTTACTGTCAGAAATTCTACAAGTTTTATTATGTGTGTCATGATTACAAGCTTTAATATTTTCGTCCCAAACTGTTCCCTCGCCACATGTAAATTCATATTTATCAAAACCACCTTTTCCGTTATCAACACATCGGTAAAATTTGTTGCATTCCCCGTGGCTCGAGCCGAAAAATCCTTCTGAGGAACATGAATCATCAGACTCGTTAGTCTTTTCCGTGGATGTATATTGAGCTGAAGTTTCTGAATAATCAGGGGATTTTGTAGAAATTGGCGTTTTGTCAGTAACAGTACTCATTGAATCAATAGTAGTTTCTATCAATTCATTAGTAGAATCTTTTCCACACTTTTCAACCGCCCATCTATGATTACAAGCTTCAATACTAGAATCCCAAACCGTCCCTTCAGCACATTTAAATTCAATCCTATTATATCCCCCTTTACCATTTTCAACACATCTATAAAATGTTTCACAATCATTGGAATCTCCCATAAATCCAGCAGTTTCACAGAGGTTATTGTTACTTGGAACAACGCTTGTTGTACTTTGGATTTGGACGGGATTATCTGGATCCTGACTACTTGATGTACCATTATAATTTCCTGAATCTTCGTTACTATTTATTGGTTCTACAGTATTATTATCATTATTATTACTAGCCGATCTTGTACAGTCCTTATCTCCAGAATTATGATTACAAGCTTCGATAACAGGATCCCAAACAGTCCCATCGCCACAAGAAAATTCATACTTCGTATACCCACCATCGCCATTTTCTACGCATCTATAAAACTTTTTACAGTCCATACTATCTCCCATAAAGCCATTCATGCTACATTCATTTTGAGAAGTCAGTGTTTGTTTCAAAGTAGTTGTTGGAATCTCTGTGACTATGTTAGATCCCATAGTACTTTGTTGTGAACCGTAGATGGAATCGTAATCATTGTTTTCGTTATTTTTTTGTGTTGTAGTTTGAACAAGAGTTATAGTTGTCATTTGTTCAGTATCAACAAAATTTTCTGAATTTGATCTACAAGACTTTACAGCCCAGGCATGGTTACAAGCTTCAATACTTTCATCCCAGACAGTCCCTTCACCGCAGTTATAGTCAAATCGAGTGAAAGACCCTTTTCCGTTTTCAACACACCTGTAAAATTTGGAGCAATCTAGCGAATTTACAAAATAACCGCTTGTAGAACATGATTTTTCTAAAATGTTTGCTTCTTCATTTGTTGCTGGTAAAGAAAAGGTTGTTTCAATTTTTGAAGTCGTTGTTTTCATATTATCTTGATCTACTACATTAGGATAACCGAAGTCATCATCAATATTATTCATTTCTTCAGGTAAAGGATTTATCTCTGAACTAACTCCACTTGAGACGCTAGTTTCCGACGTTAAGCTTTGAGTGAAAGCTGTATTACCACAGCTTTTCACAGCCCATGCGTGATTACAAGCCTCTATCTCACTATCCCAAAGAGTCCCTTGACCACACGAAAATTCGTATTTCGTATAACTGCCTTGGCCGTTATCAACACATCGATAAAATTTTTTACAATCATTCGGATCACCCATAAAACCACTTTGAGTACAAATATTATTCAATAATTTCCAGGAGTCATTTATACTGCTGCTTAACAATGTGTGTTCTGTCGATAAAGATGTGTATGAAGACGTAGTTAATTCCTTTTTTATTTTCTCATGTTGACTGTGAGTTGTCCCGAATAAATAGCTATTATTTTGTTGTTCATTAGAATGATAAGGGACTTCATTCTTATCTGTCACAATGTTCCCGTTTTCATAAGGTATTGTCACCATACTGAAACTACTACTAGTGATACGTGTATTATCTTTAATTTTGTGGGTACTGGTAGGACTATCGTAAGAATTATAACTATTTTGAATTTTTTCACCGAAATGATTTTCATTCGGTTCTTTTTCTACAAGATTATACTCGTTTTCGTGATGGGTAGTGATGTCATTTAATACGTTGTTACTAGTAGCATCTCGACCACACCTTCTACTTCGAACAGCCCAGGCATAATTACAACTTTGTTTATCTTCGTCCCATATCGTTGAATCAGCACACACAAATTCATAACGTGTAAAACCTCCTCGGAAATTGTTGACACACCTGTAGAATTTCTTACAATCAGAACTATCACCTACAAATCCATCAAAAGTGCAAGGATCATTTTTATCTATTGGTGCCGGTTTTGTCGAGAACAATGGATTTGGAGTGAAATGGCTGTTTTTATTATCCCATGGATACATCCCTGAAATATCGAATGCTTCAGAAAATTGTTGATTGACTGCTACAGTGGTTGTTAAACTTGGTGTTGTACTCTTTAACATATCTAGATCTTTCTCTGGAATTGATATTGGGGCCACTGAAACATTCACTTTAATATTTGATGGTGATGTCGTAATAGGTGATGGTAGTTCTTGCATGTCTATACCGTTTCCGTTAATTTCAAGATTATTTGAAGCAATTGCACCACCACATCCAGATCTCTTTGTATTAGAAGCATGATTACATATTTCTGTTTCTGGATCATACACCGTGCCTGGACCGCATTGGAACTGAAATTATTTCGATAATAAGTATAAAGAAAGTGTCTTATTTTTATTTATGGTATAATACAGTGAATGAGATATGTATATTTTTTACCCTAAAAACGTTAAATTTTCCACGAGATGATTGAACACATCGGTAAAAAACAGAACAATCCATTGGATCAGCCTGGAATCCTTCGTTTTGGCACATAACTGGATCGGGTTTGTATCCAGAATATATATTTACAATTCGACCGGTAACCCGTCCTCGTCGAGTTTCATTTTTCCCTGTTTCTAGAGAAAATAATATTAGTTAATAAATAAAAATAATTTATTTTTTATACCCATATTTAATCACGAATATTTACCATTTTCGTTTGACTGTATAGTTTTAATAAGCGCGGAAAGCACTACAAAAGATAGACAAGATCTTCTTATGTTCAGTTTCATTGTGGCCTTGATAATATACTTCGTTATGTAAAATTCGTCATTACGAACAAAGAAAACCTGGAACAAAGAAATCACGTCAAAAAATAATGTCTATTTTTTAATGAAAATGTACAAGCTTTGTCTTTACAGTTAGTCTTCATTAATAAGGTTTAAGGTGTCAAAAAATATTACTAATTTTTAAATAACGACAGATCGTGAGTATTGATTTAAATACATATGTAAGTGTGGATACTCAGTAGATCCAACCCATATTCAATATAAGTTTAAGTTCTCAGTGATAGGTTGATAAGGCAAAACATATTATTTTCCATCTCTGATGTACATACACACAATTTAAAGGAAAAATAAGGTCCATTGTTAAGGTGTGTGTTTAAGAAATGATTAATAGTTTCAATCTTAATTTCAAAACTTATTTTGCTATATATTTAAATATTAATTAAAATATATGAGTACTTTCTTTATTTGTGTATTTACGATTTGGTTTTACTAATTGTTCAATAAGATGAAAAATCTATGTTTGCTTTTTCATTGTTTAGTAAAATCGCTAAATAAATTAAATAATATTATTACAAGTTCCTCATTTTTAATAAAATAAATGTATTGGAATTTGTTTATTTATTATTTTAATAACAAAACGTGATCAAAGCTATGTCACAATAATACAAAGAAAATAATTTTCTACAGAGCGTGATGACTTGAACAACAAAGAATCAAGCGAAGAATTTTAAAAATATACTAAGAATTTCTTAAGAAATTAATAATTATACAATGCTTTTGATTAAATTACTTTTTGTCTTACAGAAAAATTAAGACCATTTTTGTAAATTTTGGATCCTAACCCTAACCTCATGGTACTGAATGAACATTAGTTGATATAAAAAAAAATCATAAACCCATCGATCGTTACGTGATTGGCCTAGTAACTTATTATTGTTATAAGTATTTACTAGTAATTAAATACATTTTATTATATTTTTTTTTTATCGTCGAAATGCAATTAACGATTAACATAACCGCAGTCAATTATTTAACTACCTATATTACATACTATAGTGAGGTCACTCCAATTACATTTTATCGTACCTATACTAAAAAAAACATATCAGCGATACACAAGTGTTTATGAACACTTTGTAAAAGTTATACGTTGTGACGAACGGCCCTCCCGCGACAGAGATAAATAAATAATGCGTTAAGTCCCTGTCTTTGAAAACGCACGCTAAGAGCCCATCATTGCACGCAATAATTCCTCTGGTATTTTTATAAAGGTCACATGTGAATAACCCGTCTTCATAAAAACAAATCAACTTCGTTAGTTCATTGCCGCGAATAATTACATATAAAAAAAAAAACAAAAGCCGGTTCCTATGTTACAATTTTTTCTACTTATGACATAGTATTGCAAGACGGGTGTCATGCCGCTGATGGAATCGCGTATTCATAATATGAAAATTGGATGTATGATTCAGCAATTATTTAAGTTACAAGGTCAGGGTTTTTATTGATACATCTGTTGAAAAAAAAATATTTATTATTTAAGTTGATACTAATATAGTTACAAATTATAATTGGCTATTCAAATTAAGTGTAACAATATTTATTTTCTCTTATATGTACGTCACTTAGAAACCGTTTAAGGAATTTGGGTTGTTTTAGTTGAATTTTTTTCTAAATAAACATCAATAAATAATATAATCTAGCTGAGAAACTATAAATATAAATTAAACTGCATTGAATGGACACAGACCTACAAGTATTTTTTTTATTATGGTCAAGTTCTCAGATAAGAGTAAAGATGGATCAAAGACCCTTATTTTACTTTATAATAGATAAGTGCTTAAGTTAACAATTTAAATTAATTTTCATTATAGATCATTTTTTATTAAAAGGCTCCAATAACATTACAAATATTGAATTGCAGTGTTAATCCGAAGTAAGAGTGTTATCTAAAAACTCAACTACTGACCTTTTTTATATTTTAAATTAGTATATATCCAAAAAGAATGCATCAAAATTCATCTCTCCGGTGTACTTAATTATAAATAAAAAAAAGTCCTGTTCGATTCCTATTTATGGCAAAGTGACGTATGGTCTTGTTAATACTGAGATCTTGCAGCGAGGATAAAATTGCGTAAGTGTTTTATTGCAACTTGAAGGTTGGCTTGAAACTGGTTCCAGATGATTCCCTTACAGCACCTGTGCTGAACTACATTCTTGTGGGCTGATTTTTTGAAATGAGATAGTATTTGCAAGTAATTGGCATATAGGGTAAGAGGGGCGGAGTGCGATATAGGGCCCAGGGGAAATTACCGTCCATGATATTGCCAGATAATTGCAGACCATAACGTCTCTCTTAGCAAATAGATCTTGAATGGATTACTGCCTATGCAGGGTTCAATTATATTATTAAAAACTCGTTACCCCTCTGTAAACGCACTATTAACTATGTAAAAGCCTCCATTTTAAGTGAGCAGGATCATTTACGAGATAAAGAAAATGTTCGTGTGCGTATTCCCTATATGCATTGATTGCAATGACGATTGTGTGAAAATATTTCCATATAAAAACAGTCCATTACATAAATATCTTAATTGTATAAAATCGCATCAATTATTGCATGCTATTACTCATTCACGGTCAAGGTTATTTATTTGCATCCATAAACTAATTATTAAATAAAATTATATATCTAGGTAAAAAAACACTTTTAATTGACATAAATCGTACTTGTATTACTAGTGTTTTTCCCGCGTATTCACTTGACTTTGAAGTTCATCCGGAATCTCAAGTTTAGTAATCTATAGCATACGAAATAACATGTTAATATTGATATAATAGACAATTTATAGCTTTGTAAGCATTTATATAAAACACTTACAAGGCGAATAAATATCGCCAGTTCTGCATTAAATTATTGTTGTAATTTTCTACTTTGTTGCTCTTGTTACAAATAAATATAGTCAGTTCTAAGATTCTTTAATACAAATGTATTATAATGTAAATGGTTTATCGAAGACTGTATTTTAACTAGTCCTGCAGTCGAATGTACAGTATGTTTACCCTTAATTTACATCTTTATACTTTATACCTACATACGAAAAGTTAATTTCATGAGAAACGGTAAACGCGTCGTATGTAGTGTGACGATGCAAACTTGTTCTAAGTTGACAGATAAACATTTACTTTGACGTATACGCTAGTAAAGCACTCGTTACTCCAACAAAAATATTTTTATTTCGTATTTCTTTTATACTAGCTTATAAAGTCCAATGATCAGGTTTCTCTCGAGACTTGTATATGAATTTTTATAAAGGATCTCTCTAGTAGCTAAATAAGAAAAGACAAAACTGTGTGAAACGAATAGTATTTCTATTTGAATACATATTTATATCCTCGTGTAATTCAACGTGATGAAATATATAGTCTAGAATAATTATAATGTAAATTTTATGATCCCATTAACACCGGATATTGCTTTAATTGTTTATTATACCTATGAATGATGGTGATCATTGTTCGCATTCAAAATGCGTGACGAATTCTGCTGGCTTCTCCAAAGTCCGGTTAAAGTTCAAAAAGCTATTTTTACGTGACCTTGGAAATAGTTACCAACTATTTAATTACCCATAATAACATTTTAAATTTTTGACAAAACTTACATTGAACATAGCTACCAACAAAACATTTTTAATTTCTGACAAAACTTAGGTACATTCGATAGTTTAATTACGTCTGCTCATATTTTTATTGTTAAAAGTTATAAATGTTACAGATTTTATAACTGCGGAAGTCGATTTTAAAGACAAAATATCTTCCTCGTTGTTCTAAATAGATTACCGAAACAAAAAATTGTTATATCGTAAATATGCAAATATCGCATACATTATGTTAGCTAGAACGAATGTTTGACCATACGTACTCTTTTTTTAAAACACAGACAATATAAAAACAATTGATGGTCTATGTAAGGTTATACAAGTGGTTTTTTTGACTTAACTAAAGCCTCCCTTTACATAAGGCAGTTATTTCATACAATAACATTGTAGCAGACATGTGGTAAATTACTATTGACTTGAAAAAATATAAAAAATAGCGTCTATATGTACAAATGTATATTAAATTATTTTATTAACTTTATTGCAGATATTGTATTAAAAATAATAAAGTGATATTACTAGTCTAGTCCAGTCCATTTACAGTACAAACATAAAAAAATTAGGTATATGAATAATTACGAATACTAATAAATATAAGGATCGAATAAATTTATTCCATTTTTCCGAATTTTTTTTGTAGATGTATCAAATTTTGTTGATTGATATTAATTTCCCTTGTATATATTAATTGAATAAATTATGTTTTATTAATTTCGTATTTCCTTAATACTTCGTACCTTGACCCCACGTGCTTACTGGATACCGTAATTTTCCAGCCGGATCACGATTTTCATGCAGGCATGCCTGTCTATCATTACACGATGACTTCATAATGTTTTAAGAACATCAAGTATTATTTGCGTCTCTAATTCTTTGGAATATACATTTCCCTTATAATTATTATATTAAATATATCCTCACTGTCTTTACTGAGCACTAAGGAGGTTTTATATTTGACCTCCAATATATAATATTAAATTTATTTCTTTATACATTATATTTTACTAAGAAGATTTAAGCAATTAATTAGTAAGCGTCAAATTTATAAACAGTGAAAGTCTTTTGTTAATATTTTTCTACTAAAAGTCTGGTATTTATTTACTATGAAAACTTTATTTTGAACAGTAACAGACCTTATGAATGAATATGAATGCTCATGAGCAAATATAACTTTAATTTTACTCACAGCGAATAAAGAAGTTATTGCCATTTCTGTAAAAGGAACAAAAATGTATCTTGATGTAACGAGATGCTATGCAAATATCTTTTTCTACATTCTTGTTACCACCTACTGGTTTAAGTCTTAAATTATTTTTCATATTTGCAATACTAGTTAGACTGTACTTATTTAATTATAACCTTAGATCGATAGTTTAGTGTGAACGACCGACAGCAAACGGTAAAACTATTGTAATTTGTCAAACGACAAATTGTGTTAGAAAATTATTGGAAACCGTTATCTAAGTTCTCAAAAAAATAGAACATTCTCACTTAAGGATTCATTAATCAAATATATTTAGAAAATACGAAGCAATAAAATCATTATAGATATTTTCTTTAGCGACAATGACGAATATGACAAACAATTCCATTCATTAATCAATGAGAGGTTATGATCTTTTTGAGCCCAATAGCACCTGTCAAAAATACATTTACATTGAAAAATATTTATAATTAATAATAGATGTGTATCCAGGATCAACGTCTAACTGGAGTTACCAAGTAATAAGTACTTTTATAAAGTATTTCTATTCTTAACATTCATTATACTTTATTTTTTCCTTAAGTAATTTCCATTTTTGTCATGCTCAAAAGGAATAAAAAATAATACGCGCAACATATTTCAGTTTATAAAAAGATAAATATGATATGAAATCTAAATAGTTGTATTTAAAATTCCTAATTCTTAATAGTAATTATTATAAATTTAGTAATAAGTTATGAAGAAGATGATTCAATGTGTCTTGTCTATGTCAAAAGTGTGGATTAAATATTTCATCTAAATCAATCCAGTAGTCATGTAGTTTAGCAACTTTACGAGCGGAAGCCTCAAGATACTATCTCTGTTCCGGCGATTCTGTTATCATTTTGCAACCGATACTCTTACTTTCTTATTGTTCAGTTTTAATTGTTGTGTGAACCCAATGTAGTTCAATGTTAGTTCAACTATTTAAATAATTCAGATGTAATCTTCCATGTTTAAGTTAATTTTATTACTTAATTCCCTCATTTTCAAGGTATTTAAAATATACACTGTAATTGTAATAAGTATAAAAAATAAAAAAAACCAAAGGCATCGTAAAAACAAATTGTTATCGTATTAATTTTGCAGATGTAATATTTAATAAGGCATTATAAAATTTATAGTATTTAATTGACCCTTTAAAATATTTTGCGAATTTGGTATGTTTAATAAATCACGTACTTTATAACAAAGATAAATTAGCAAAATAGGATCATTCGTTTTATTATATTGTTATATCAAATTTATTGCATTTTCATACAATAAGATTTTTTTGATATAGCTATAAGAAATTAGTAAATTGAATGTCAATTCAACTATTATGGTAAAAGTATTAAAACACCACTTGTAATTATTTATCATACGATCTGATTTTTGCCATTATCTGAGTTTAAAGCATAAATATAAACTACTTTTTGATACAAAATTTTTGGAAATGAATGTCATTGACGGGGATTACTACCTACTCTAAATTGAAGTAGGTTGTAATATCGGTAAAAATGATTTCATTGTCGCAAAAAAGATTGCGGCTGAATCCAGAAGTATAAAATTAAAGATTTTTTTTTATTATAAAGTCGTAAACATTAGTCATAAACACATCCGAACACACTTTTTATGACAATACAGCTTGTAATTTAAATTTTAACGATACAATAAAACGAAACGGTTCTAAAATAATAAATTGTGCAACATTATTGTTCATTTAAATGAAACTAATCTTTCGGATATACATACTACGCTTGCTTCTTTTGTAAAAAAATAAATAATCCCGACGTTTTAGCTACCTTTCAGCAGCCATGATCACGGGCAGATGAGATGAAAATTATTATTTTGATCGATGTTTTGAATGTATTATGAATCGAAATTAGATTAATCATACTTAAGTATCATACAGTTAAATCAGGTTCATATTGCTAGGGGCTGGATGTAAACAGGATTCCAAGACCCCTGTCAGTCAGGCGAGGTCGGAGCGCAACTGGGTTCTTTAGTGGGTATACCGGGAATCCTTTCCCGGGGAGTCCCACATACCCCTTCCGTCCCCCAACGGAGAGGGGATGCGTAAAGCATTTTTTCCCAGTGCGCACAAAAAAAAACAAGGTTCATATTGCTAACTAACAAGTTTCGCAAAATTATTGGTTCGATATTTGTAGATACTAGACATTGACCGAAGTCCCGTTCAACTATACGAACTCTTTGCTTTAATTAGACCTATAAGCTATATTATTATAGTGTTATCAAAATACGCACAATAGTTTTTGCAAACAAAACTTCTCTCGTTTTATCAACAGTATTAATGTGGTAGAGCATCGGACAATCGTATATAGTGTAGACCAATGATATTCTCCTAAGTAGAACTTGTATTATGATAATCATATATTATTCTATCATAGTTTTCCCATCATATATGATTAAAATATTTTTTTAATAATGTTTAAGCACTACCTAATATACAAATCTAACAGTATCTAATAGCAATCTACTTAGAAGTATATATCAAAACGTTCCTATAAAATTAAAAAGAAACAAGTACATATAATGTTTAACAATTGATGTTAGTGACGAAATAAAGGTATCAAAATAAAAAATGACCATTTCGGGCCGAGAACAAAGCTGTGATTGTTACTTTGATGCCTAATTAAGAAAACAAAAAGACAAAAAAACCCTTGTAACGCATGAAACAAAACATCCTTATTTAGTACGTGTTCCACGATAACAATCTCATAATTATAATTTCTGGATTTAGGAGTTCAATGAACTCTCGGTGGGCGTGCCAATACCTATTTATGATGACGCAGCGCTTGATTTGTGAGGTCTCAAATATTCTCATATACTAACTTCTGTTTACATTGTGTTTTTGTTTATCTCCGTGTAATTTTTAACATCAAATTAACACGTATGACCGTATTCCATATAAAATGATAAATTTTAACTGATAAAATTATTTGCATTCCATTGTGACTTTATAATGGCAGTGGATTTATTAATTTTTTAAATTAGAATGTTTTAAGATATATTTTTTATTTTAATTATCATTTGTACCTATATCAATTTATACACAGATTTATTACACGTTTTAACATTTTTATTTTAAGAACAATGATGTAAGTAAATGTTTTACAAAGTTCCAGATATGTTGAATCAAGTTATGTTAGTTGTAGCACCGGCTTTATCCCGGTTAGGGAACACTTTTATTTTTATCCGACGCTCATTTGTAAGATGTCCCTTTTATTTAACGATATCGATTTCATGTATTGTGTTGCTATTCTTATTAAATTATTTTAGAAACACGGTTAAAAAAATTATAAATTTGTTAATACATTTTTGAATATATATATATTTTTTTTATATAACAACACTGAGTTTTGTAATAAATAAAATATTTCATAGTACTTCGTCCTATAATGATCTTTATTTTTACTTTATCTAGTACATCTTCTATAAGATAGACAACACATTCGAGATCAGTACGGTTGATGCGTGTTTAGAATAATGATAGTATTTATTACATTTGGGAGAAATAGCGGATTCTTGGCATTGAACTTGACAGGGACCTACTTGGCCTTGCAGCCAAATATGCCATTACCGGTCCGAAGGTGCATGGATATAGTATTTACCAGTTCAGCAAAGATTTCTACATATTGTATTTCTCCGTCAAATTCTTCTATTTATCATACATTCAATTTATAAAAAATGGTCCCACCCTTTAGCGTCTAAAAAATACTGTCATGTTTGAATTTTAATTAAATTATGTTTTGTTTTTTAAAGGATCAAAATTTAATTTAACTTTACAAGCATCTTGGTAAATGTGATGTAATATCGTTGACACTTGCTAAAATTAGATTTTCATCTTAAATAGAATATATGGAGGGGGTGTTCTATTTACTTATTTCTCACTCGCAAACTTATTTTACCTATTGAAACTTATTTTTGTTTTTTTTTTTCATTACATTTAGTAGGACTAAAAGAAAAGAACTTTAAAAATCTGGATTAGACTTTGACTACCTCTCATATAAAGATAATTAATAAAATAGTCGATACTTATAATACAGATAGCTTATATATATGTAATGTAATGAATTTCAGATATTATAATAAACAGTATTTGATGATCATAAATTAAATAATTCTTATTTTGTAGTGTTATAATCATAGGAACTGGGGATTACGTCAGTAATTTAGAATTTGATCGTTGCTGCTTGTCAACACTAGACTCTCGATTATTATTACACTTTTACATACTACTTATAACCATAATTTTTTTTATTTACAGTACGTTATTAATCTACATTAATTCTCATTAGCCATAACTCTGAAACATGATCTGGTTAAACCAAAAAAGGATTAGAACGAAGCCGTCCCCTGCTGGCTCCGGTTCGGGAATGTGCTCGACTTATAATTCATTACTCCATACCTTTATTTTGATATAATTGTTGAATTACGACATAATAAGAATACTTATTAATGATTTACTTTTAAGAGTAAATTATATTCGATGTATGTTTCTTATATAAAAAACTTTAAGATCGCTAATGCGCTCAAAATAAAATATATCGCTGTTTTTTATGTTCTTTTTATTTTGGAGTAGCGA